ATATCATGTACATTATGCGTGGATGCTCTGTAATCTGTTATAGGCAGACAATGCTTGCTTATGTCATATATTCATTTATATCTCTGTTGATGTCATGTATGTAAACACCTGTGCAAACCCTAACTTTGAAGGAGAAAATATTTTTAAATTCAACCTGGCATTCTGAAGCATTGGTAATCCTGCAAAGACTTACACACTCTATATAACAAAATAATAGTGTAACAGGAAAACTAAAAATTTAGACTGTATTTCCATAATGTTCCCTTTAGTTTCTTAAAGGTAGGTAAAAATGAATACATAAAAATCTTAATAGGAATCTTTCCTCTGGTAATAGTTGATTACTAGTCAAAAGGGATCAGTTTTAGGCACATCCTAAAACAGATCCTGCCACACGAGTATAAAGAATGCACGAAAGGGCTAGAGATGTATGCATTAAAGGTTCAGGTGTGCCCTGGGAGGAAGGGGGGTCTACAAACATGTTCAGGAAGCCAGGAGACTTCTACCAATCACAGAGTACTCTCCTAGCCCAAGAAGAAGAGGAGGAAAAAATGAAAGAACAGTAGAAGGGCTTTTACTATACATTCTCCAAAATGAAGCTGCAACATTTTTAGTTGTTGCAAAAATTCTGACTGACAGGAAAATATTGCAATCATATATAACAACTATTGACTTATATGCATTACATATACTATACATGTGATAATATGCATATTATATATAAAAGTCTACACTTATTTCTGAATTATTCCTGAATTCTCATTATTTCTATATTCCTAGTTAATTAGTGTTGTTATTAAATTCTATATATTACTTACATGTATATATGTTATGTGAACATGTAATAAGTAGTATGAGAAATATTAATTCATCTGATCAGGCTATCAAAAGATAGTATACTTTAAAAATATGCAAGTGAACCTGGTGGTGACCATGGTGCACGCCTTTAACCCCAGCACTCGGGAGGCAGAGGCAGGCAGATCTCTGTGAGTTCGAGGCCAGCCTGGTCTACAGAGTGAGTGCCAGGATGGCCTGAACTACAAAGAAAGTCTCTGCCTCAAAAAAATAAATCATTTCAGTAGAAGAAAGAGACAAGTTTAGAGAAACAGAATGGTGGGACTTCTCTGATGAGAGGTCGGGGACTGGCAGGAAAGAAAGAAGATTCTGCCCACAGGCAAACAGAAGCAGGGACTTGGAGGCAATGCTCCCTGACAGATCCTCTGCTAGCCAGGTATCTGAGTGAAATGCGGAAGCAGCCCTCACTGGCCATGAAGACCAGTGCTACAGTTTTCTCTTGCTAAAAGCATGGGTCAGTACTGAGCAAATGCTTCCTGCAGAGCAGGTTGGGTGTCTCACGAAGGATGTTCTGGAGCAGTGGGAACCAAAGAATGAAACAGCCTGTCTTTATGGAGCTTAACTACCATAGTCCTCTTTCCATGAACGCAAGAGGAAATACACGAAGACAATGCTGGGGTCCTACAGCAGTAAGTCAGGATGCAGAAATGATTCACTCTGCATGACACCTTTGTTTCTTTCTGGAACTAAATGTCAAACCTAGGTACTTACGAATGGTAGGCCCACACTCTACCACTAAGCCATGCACATCCAGCTCACCAAATCCATTTAATTTCCTCTTGTATCATTGAATAAAAGTCAATTAGTGAAAATGTATCTCAAGATTATAAACCATTTTAAGGTTGGATTCTACAAACAAAGCATAAATAACAAAAGCAAGTACAAAAAATTTTCTTTTCCAATATATCAGGAAACAAAAAAATAGATATTTCAATTGTTTCCCAAAATTGGGAGGATTTTTCCATATCATTTGGGGTATTCTGGAAATAATATTCATTTTATCTCTAAAAGCATCCGATGAGCATATCCATTAACTTATTTTTAAGTCTGAGATAAATGGCTCTACTGAATGATGAGTTTGCTGTATTCACTGGGCATACACATCATATTTCATGACTCTAAAACATTTTAATTGTTTTTCTGTTATTTTGTAATATTGACCTGAAGAACCTAAGTAACTGTGCCCACCATTGCTACCATTAAAAGCTTCTTCCCTCACTGTAACCAGCCCTTGGCATGCTTCCACACTGGTGCTATAGGAACTGGTATCCCTGTGCATAACTTCAAGGCCCTATCAGGGTTAAAAGATCAGAGCTACTCCTCTATTTAAAGCTAGAAATACAAAAACTGACATCTCAAACAAAAATAAAATAAATCCAAAGATAAGGAACGCTTTTTTATATCAACGATTGACAAATGCATTACATATATCAGAAATAAATCAATGAACTTATAGAAACACATCTTCAAATGTTCACACAGTGAAAGCTTAGTTATTATTTGTGATGCGCTAATTACACTGTGATCTAAAACAGAATTGTGCTTGCGGCGCCCTCTGCTGGGCTTTCTGCTCACAAACTCAACCCAGCAAATCAAATCAAATCAAACTTATGTATCAAGTGAAAAATTACTTTGTTGTCCATGAACACTTCATGATGAAGATTACATGAAAGCTGTATTTACTTTGCGGAAATGAGATTTTACCTATTTATCCGTTAAGTGGGCGTTCAATAGATGTTTCTCTTAATGAGGAAATACAGAGTCACATCAATTATAGATGCGGATGTGACGTGGACGCAGACACGGAGCAAAGTAGCAGCAGAGAAGAGGGGCAGGGAGAAAGGTGGAGGGGAAGGATGAGGAGCAATGTGGTCGGCATACATCACGCTAACATGTCACATGAGGACTGGGAGATGACTCCGTGGAGGAAGCACTTGCTGCACGCTCACAAGGAGCTCGGTTCATTTCCCCAGAACCCATGTAGATGGCAGGTGGACCTGCTGGCCCATCTCTAAGTCCAGTGCTAGCACTCAGGAGGACCCCTAGAGTAAGCTACGTAGCTAGGCTGGCAACATGGACAAGCTCCAGGTTCCGTTAAGAAACCTTGCTTCAGTGACTAGGTGAACAACAGTGGGAAGCTCCTGACCCCAACCTCAGGTCTCCACATGCATATACACAGACAGCCACTCCCACAAACACACATACACACACACCACATATCACACAGGCACTTGCATGCCAAAAAAAAAAAAGTTACATACAAAAGAAGTCTTAATATACCTTGTTTTTGTTACTATATCTGTCACTTGACATTATTTTCAGGTTCCTAAGACTATTATGACAAAACATTTTAATAAGCTATTTTGCTTTTTATCTTATTTTTCTGGCTTTTTAGTTCAATCAAAATAGTTCATTTTAAAACATCAAAATAACACTTAGTGTCTCTTTTCAACTTAAATTTATCTTAAATTAATCCTCAACAACCTAAATTGTACATACTTATAAACAAGTTTGAAAAGGTACCAACACCAGGAGAAATAAACTAATAAATAAATAGCTTCCACTACTATCAACTGTGAGAAATAGAGTGATCTACGGTGTCTGGATATGTAGTCTGTAAAATGAATATGTAGTCTTTAAAATGAATACGGAGCCTTTAAAAGGAATAAAATATACGTTCACAGAGACCAAATCGCTTAAGGTGAATTTCTGTGTTAGGATTCAATTGTAGATGTGCCTCACTCGTTCTGAAGTTTTCTACCAAACAACAGACGGCAGAAAGAAACCACCCTCAACACACAATGTCTCCATTTATCAGTGCAACAACATGAGGTGTGGTGATGAAGAAAACAGTGACTGAAGAAGAATAAGACATCACTCACATGAGAAATAATAACCTAGACCATTGGGAAACTATTTTTATTGTATGTAGTGCTGCCAGCTAGTGGCCCTATTTCATACTGAGTCAGGCAAACAATACTTCACATTCCAGGATCATGTTCTAAACCTGTGTGTGCACAAGGCAGACTTAAGGATATGTAACATTACTCCAGGATAAAGAAGTACTCCAGTATACCACCATACCATCCCAGGACCAGTCCTTGCCTAGCTCCTGACAAAATGACAAGATACACCTAAGTTAGAATTCACTAACAGCCAATACATATAAACTAAGAGGTGTTATTATCGGTGCAAAAGAAACCAACTTTGCTTTAAATATTTTAGGGTACTTTTAGAACACTTATAGACTCCTCAGTGACAAAATATAACTTTCCTATACAAGCAAGAGCTAGCCAAAATGTAGACATAGAATAAAATTAATATCTATTATTACACATTACTCAATTCAAATCCATCCATTTGATAAAACAAATTAGCAGAATTTATCATTTAAGTGTAGATAAAACAAATTAGCAGAATTTATCACTTAAGTGTAGAGATAATGCTTCCTCTGAGGAAAAATTTTCATTGTTTTCAAATTTGAAATGGTCGTATTTTACTATATTGATTCATTATTTCTGTAAGTATCCTATGCAACAAGCTCTTATCATTTAACTGTGACGTGAGTGATATATTCTTATCTGACTTCTTTCATTATGAGGCATTATTTTAGAATTGCTTAAGTGAAGTTCTCAGCAGAGAAATAGATCACCAATTAATTAGGGGCTTAGACAAACATTATAAATATATCCTATAATGTTATATAAATGAAACCTTGAGTTTTAAGTACAATAACATCAAGAAAAACTAAGAATAAGGGACCCAAAAGGCAGCAAAGGCAAAAGAAGACCAACAACTGGACTCACAAGAAAAGTCCCAATGGAAACAAAAACAAGAGGAACAATGCTGCAGAGTTCAGACTTCTTTCTGATCTATATTGTCACATATACAAAAACAGTTTGTAAAAACTGCCACACCCCATTGAGTATGCCTCTCCTACGAGGCATATGTTACAGCTAACAGCACCAAGGCTTTCTAGTATGTATGTATACGTATGTACACACACGTAAGAATATATGCATATATGTGTGTGTGCACATATACATATAAGTATATACACACAGTAAGTATAATAACAAGCAGTAGGGAAAAGCTAAAAGTTGCATTTTGGAGCACTGGATATATTTTACAGTTAGCATTGAACTTACAAACATTTCCTGTATTGTCGAAGCTGGTGAGAATGTCTTCAACATTCAAAGGTCCACTATTATGCCTGCAAAGAAACAGAGCATTTTATTTAACCTTTCTGAAACAATGGTCTTTCTAATTCTTTTTAAATCTGAGAGCAAATTGTGACATACCTGATACTAATGAACCCTACCATGTTATAGTTTTAAAGTAAGCTCAAACCATAGTCTTCAGAGTATTTGATGCAATTCCATGTCCTGATTATAATCAAGATCTTAAGGTAATACAGTTTTTTAAATCACTGTTTAACAGAAAATAATTTATAGTAACATACAAGCAAGTCCTTAAAGACAATTTAAAAAAAAAAGAAACACATTACACAGAGAATTTTAGAATACAAGAAAGAAAAAGCAAGTTACACCCAGAACCACCCTCGATAACCCAGCAAGTTCTTCGGAAGCAGTCAGTGCACAGATTTGAAAACCGTCAGAGGGAACCAACCAGTCAGTCTCCAGGTCTTCACAGCCCACTATGGGCAGTTCAAACCATTAGCAGGCAAAATGGACTCACAGCATTTACTTCTACTCTGTTAGCTCCCATCTCTCTTCACTCAGCCCTCCAAATACTGCATTTTATTACTGAGATGTTAGTAAGGAAACCAACCAGCAAGAGTTTGAGTTAGAGCACCACAATCTTCTAGAATTATAGCTACTTTCGGGTGTTTTGATTGTTTATACTATAATCATCACTGGAAAGCATCTCACCAATACTACTATAACTTTGGCAGTAAAACTTAGTATAAATGGGGTGTAGAATATGTGTGTATAAATGTATATAAAATTATGTATATCAATATATATTCATTTGCTAGAATATATATGACTATTGATATATATTGATATATATGCTAGAATATATATGACTATTGATATATACATATATCAAAAGAATATTAATCTAGCCGGGCATTGGTGGCACACGCCTTTAATCCCAGCACTCTGGAGGCAGAGGCAGGTGGATCTCTGTGAGTTCGAGACCAGCCTGGTCTACAAGAGCTAGTTCCAGGACAGCCTCCAAAAGCCACAGAGAAACCCTGTCTCGAAAACCCCCCCACACAAAAAAATAATGTTATTACTCTTTCAAGAAAAAAGCTTTTATTTCTGTCAGATATCCTTTCTCTGACAGAATGATTGAGATTACATAAAGTCGTCTGCAATCCAAGTAGACACTCAGCTCAAAGTTATCATAATCCAAAGAAACGAAGTCATCAACCACAAATCAAAGCTTCCTTACCATATTATGATTCTATATCACCCCTGTGAACATGTGAGTCACTAACATTACTAAAAATTATTAAAAAAAAAATGAACCTTTAACATCTAAGATGCAGGATGGGACATGACACAGCACAGAACTCCTCATGTTCCAAAACATTCGAGCAATATGATTCCTTTGAAGATAGCAAAACATCAAAATCCTAACACGCAGAGATAATCAGTTAATATTTTGGTACACATTCTTCAAATCTGTCCTCTATACTTCGATAAGATTGTTCTGCAATTCATGTGTTTTATAATGTATTACAAACATTATAAAACAGTTTCAACATCCAGTCATCTCCTGTGACATAATCTTAATGACTGTTCAGAAGTTCAAAGAGCAATTGTGAATGGCCCCGTCTGCACCACAGTTACCCAACACAGACTTCATGTTGGATTTTATCATTGCACCAAGTGTGGAGCTATTACACATATTACTGTGGTGGGAATAATTATAGATTATCATCAAGCTTTCTGATAAGTTCCTTTTTAAAAAATTCCTTTTTAAAAATGCCAGGCAGTGGTGGCACACACCTTTAATCCCAGCACTTGGGAGGCAGAGACAGGTGGATCTCTGTGAGTTCAAGTCCAGCCTGGTCTACAGAGTGAGTTCTAGGACAGCTAGGGCTACACAGAGAAACCCTATCTGAAAAAAAAAAAAAAAATCCAAAAACAACAACCAAAAAAAGGCCAGTAACCCAGCATTAGGAAACTAAGATTCAAGGCCCTTTTTGGCTACAAGGAGAAGCTGAATCCAGCCTGGGCTAAAGACCCTGTCTCAAAAGGAAAAAAAGAAAGAAAAAGAAAGAGAAGTAAAGAAAAAAATCCTAAAAACAGAATTACTGAATTTCTTTATGACCTAATCCCCCTCCCCTCCTCTACTTTCCCTTTCCTTTTCCTTTTTTCCCCATCCCAGTGACCAGCACAATTAGGACAGAGTATTTGAAAGTGAATCTGAGATGAAGCCGGAGGATGTTGCCTGTGATGACTTGAATGAAAATGGCCCCCATAGGCCCTTAGGGAAGTGGTACCATTAGGAGGTGTGACCTTGTTGAAGTGGGTGTGGCCTTGTTGGAAGAAATTTATCGTTTCAGATGCCTAGCGTCACCCTTTCCTGCTGCCTGCTGATGCTGATGTAGAATGTAGAACTCTCTCCCGCACCATGTCTGCCTGCGTGCCACCATGCTTCTCACCACGTTGACTGTTAGGGTCCGGGAGAAGTCCACAGGAGACCACCAGTCACGTATGCAATCAGCAAGGACGTTTATTAAAATTCCAACATGTTGGGGTGGCATGTAGGGAGACTACGGGGAGGGGAGGTTAGCCTGGGGCTGATTGGTGGGTTTAAACAAAAAGTTTACGGGTTGCAACAGGATTGGTTGTGCGCTCAGTGGTTAGGGGCTTTTCAGCTGCAGTGTGGGAGACACTATCTTTAGTTCTCTTAAACTTGCACAAGGCTGTGGGCTGCCCTCTGATTGGTTGCCCCTGGGTTGCAGCATTCCCAAGAACTGTTTGCTCGGCTCCAGCTGGGTCCAGTGAACTAAGGCTCAGTTTCTGGGAGGGCTGCTAGCAGGGCCTGTCATGGCCCCTTACCTGGTGGAGGTTGCCTGGCCTCTGTTGTGTGTAGGTAGAAATACATCTGAGGCCAGGATGTTTCTGTAAAGGAGCAACTGCAACAAAAAGGGGAGACACTGCAGCGCCCCTCATGTTAGCCTCTGATCTGGTAAGTAAATTAGATAAACAAGAGGATGAGATGAAGGTGTTGACTTTCTGCTTCTTTAGGGGGAAGGAGGGGCGGTTTCGAGACAGGGTTTCTCTGTAGCTTTGGAGCCTGTCCTGGAACTCACTCTGTAGACCAGGCTGGTCTGGAACCTCAGAGATCCTCCTGCCTCTCTGCCTCCTGAGTGCTGGGATTAAAGGCATGCACCACCACCGCCCGGCTGGAACTAGTATTATTGGGGGAACTAGGAACATACCTCTGTTTGCTAGGCCAGACAGAACTGTGTTCAAAGAAGAACTAAGGAAAAAGTTGATTCGAGAAAGACCTCAAGATGGTATGGTAGAATCTTTATGATAAAGTCGGAGACACTTTGGCATATCTCGGTGACTTAGACCAGCAGGTAACAAGTGTCTGTAAAGTGAGAGTGCAACCTAGAGGGGACAGAAAAATAGTAAAATGGAGCAAGAGGCCTGTCTGGGTCACCCAAGGACAAATGTGACTAGACTTGTGGAGAGCTGGTCTGTGCTTTTTAAGTCTCTGGAAAGCCTTAAAGTCTGACCAGCAGTCCGCCGAAGAGTTAAAAGAAACAGAAGACAGGAAGACAGAGTGGTGCCCACAGAACCTTCTATGGAAGGAGGAGGTGTCCAGGGTGGAAGCTGCCTAAAATTCTCCTCGGATGGGGTGGCCAAGCTTGCCTACAGCTGAAGGCCATACATGACACCAGAGACTTCATGTTAAGCTATGGATTTACTGCCCCCTCCCCTCAACTAATGTTCGAAATACTTGAGCTTTGGTGGATACTGGCATGCCTCAATTCATGGCCATCCCCAGAAGTGTCCTGTGAGGCTAAAGGAGAGAATGAGAGCACTGGCACTGTGCTGAGGCAGAAACAAAGCACAAAAAGGAACTGCTGTTAGCCAGAAATTCTTCATGAGGCACTTCTGGTCACTACGATCAGGATGATGTGGACAGCTCAGCTGAGGGAAGGGTCACATGACCTCTGAAAAGGGCAGAATGGTTAGTTTCCATTTCCAGGAAGGGGTTGATTCCCACTTGGGTCAATCGTCCATCTTGGTGTCTTGGGTGACTCCATTTTGGGTCAAACTAATAGTCCCTATCTCGGGTGAGTAGAAGTGTGTATGGCATTTCCCCAGGAAAGGTTTTGTCATATGACAGAGCAGAGTACAAAAATGGTGGGCATGTTATATAATGTTAAATGTCTCAAGTCAGGAGCTGGGATAGCAGAAGTAAAATGCCTACCTTAACGGTTCACACTATGCTAAGTCACTACTGCAACTTTCTGAGTATGAGGGTGGAGAAACAGGAAACCAAATCTCACAATTCTACTTATAAAAACGTGAACAATTAGCCAGGTGGTGGTGGTGCACACCTTTAATTTCAGGACTCAGGAGGCAGAGGCAGGCTGATCTCTAAGTTAGAGGCCAGCCTGGTCTACAGAGTGTGTTCCAGAACAGCTAGGACTGTTACACAGAGAAACCCTGTCTCAAAAAGCCAAAATAAATAAAATTCCCTCAAAATAACTGGTAGAGGGGATACTCAGTGTTCTCATCACAAACAAATGCCTGATGTCTGAGGTGCTGGCTAAGCTAAGCACCCTGGCCTGACCAGTTACACACTGCATAAGGATAAGGATATGAAAGCACCCAACTGACCTACATAAATATGCACAATTATTTATTAATTTTGAGTGAAGAAAAAAACTTTATAACTTAAGAACCAAAATTAAACAATCTAATTTACAATGGATCAAACGTTTGAATGCAAAGAAGATAATATAAATACATAAAAGATGCCTAGCATCTTTCATTTTAAAGATGGGAAATGGACATCAAAACCAGAGCAAGGTATCATTTCACATCTTTTAGACATGACTTTTTATCGAAAAAAAAAAAAAAATGGGGCTGGAGTGGTGGCTCAGTGGTCAAGAGCAGTGGATGCTTTTCCAGAAGATCCCGGTCCAATTCCCAGTACCCGGTACATGGTGCCTCACAACCATTTGTAGTCCCAGGGGATCCAATGCCCTCT